CCATGCAGCATGTGGGATTCGAACCCACGACCCCGGCTTCCGCGTGAGTGAAGACAGTCCATGCTCTAGACCGCTCGGCTACTGTGACCGGCTAATTTTACCCTTAACATACTTTTTCTTGTAAGGGGGACGGTCTCCTTATTTTCAGGTTCTTAAGAACAAATGTAAAGATAATGATTACGAGAAGTTCTAATTGCTAACTATAATGGTATTTGTGAAAATACTGGTACCTAGAAATATGTTTTAGATATTAAATCTTGAATGTATTTTTCTCAGTAGTATAGTTTTTGCTTCTTTTTGCTTACAATTATCGAAAATATATGACATTTTCAGTTTTTCCAAAGATTCTTTTTTCTCACTGGAAAACTACCTTGGTATTCGGGACTATAAGCTTTCTTTCCAATGTAATCCGAACAAATTAATGTCTCTGACAGGAAGCGAACCAAGAATTGTAGAGATATACGGGCTCTATATAAGTCCTTAAGAATCTGTAACACTTCAACCCTGAAGATGGAAGTAATATGGACTTCCGAAACGTCGACAACATCTCCCACATCCACACTGCAACAAACCAGACATACATTTAACGTCTATAACACGTCACCATCGTCAGTTCATTTCTGAGATAGTGAAGCCTAGACAGTAGAGGCCAAGTAAGAACCGAATGTCATAGCTGATTGGACGAAATTCTTGAGACAGGCAGAAAAAAAATACAAGGAAGGACTTCAGATGGAACCCGGTTATTTTAGATGAACCGATTCAACCAGCATTGGCCAAAAATTCTGACGCACTGGACCTCCAGTGACTAAGGTTATCTCTTGCGTGGGTGCTTTCTATCCTTTCACCTGAGGACGGAAACAGATCCAGTTTCCGAAACGCTGTGTTCTTTGAAATACCGGACAATGGACAAAGTCCAAAAATCTAGTAGTCTCGAATCTTATACGCCATCGTCAGAAGCCCTTGGAATTAAATAACCGAAAGAAGTCGAACTGAGGCTGAGAAGCTGCAGTCAGCCTGTCCTCACTTCACATGCTGTATAAGTACGCAGAAATTGCATACAAAATTAATGAGTCTTCATTTGCAGCACCATCTATTCATGATATTGAGTCATGTTCGATCCTACTTGACTGGACTCGATCTGGTTAGTGTTCCCCAGCCCAAGGGCCCAACTGAATCCTGAATTATTGTTTACGACAGTATGAGTCCGTTAGCCAAGTTAACGCACTACTAAATCAAAGGCAATTCCTTATGGATAACACAGGTACTCCTATCACTCTTTCTTCCTTTAACCGTCTTATTCTTAGACACGTTTTAGACAACCGAACAGGATTAAAACTCAATCCTGGCTATTCAGGACCCGATCCATACAAACAGAAGATGTGATCCAGAATCTCTGGAAACTCTTGTTCTGAAAAGAAAGCCTGCATTGCTGTCCTGTTTTTATTAAAATGACACTTGTTTTAGAGAGACTAAATAGGTCATTACGCCGGTCACGGTCTAAGGCGTGCACTGTCTTCGCTCGCTCGGAAGCCGGGATCGTGGGTTCGAAACCTACTCAGGGCATGGATGTTTGTGTGCGTTTTTCTGTGTTTGTGAACAGGTAGAGGCCTTGCGACGAGCTGATCACCCGCCCAAGGGGTCCTACCGAATGTGTAAGATCTAGAAAAACCGAAGTGAACGGAGTTCATGGAGGTAGGCCTAGGCCCACTGGGGCTGTAGTGCCAAGGGGGAAAAAAAGGTCATTACAGCTTTGCTCTGTTGGGCTTATTTATATTTACAGCAGTTCCTCTGTTGGTAAATGTGTAATTGTAGTCCTATATTTGCGAACCTATACACCTTAAAGGTAAAGCCATCCCTGTAACAGGCCGTGAGGACCCATAGAGTTGTGAGACGTCGAGGTTCCCATATTTTCTATAGAAAATCGGCTCACAGATGACGTTAAGGTTGTCAGGCCTACGCTCCGGCCGCCTTTTACCCCCCGGAAATTTCTGGTGCTAATTTATATTTGAGGCTGAGTCAACCCAGGAGCCATAGTGCGGCTGGAAGGGTTAGTTAAATTTAAAAAATTCACCTCATAGTGACTCGAACCCGCGACTTTCCGGCTTGTAGCACTTCCTCAACCAACTACGCTACCGCTTGCCCTTTATAGGTAAAATTCTGCCTCCCTGATGAAGACAGACATCGAACTCCTACAATACTCTACGGCAGTGCGTATGCACTGACGATCGTTCAGTGTAGGCCAGTCTCTTGTTTCCTACGCCCAGCATTCATTTTGCGAAATGAAACCTCTCTCCTAGCATAGTAGAAAGAAAGCTTTTCTATAAGCAGTTATTTTTACAAATATGTACATTTTATATATTAATCATTATTGGAGGTTCTTATATTCAGGATGTCTCGTCCTACCTAGCTGACCATCCAATTCTAACAGTGGGACGCGTCCCACGCGTTGACAAACACTACTCTGTAGAATGAATCTCCTCTACGATGTACAATACGAATAGTAAAGAGAGATATTGTTACGTGTCCGGGGTTCCGTGACTAATAATAACGGATTCTGGATTGGATAACTGGATTTATTAACACTTCTTTTACAATCGATTATAACAGCCCACAATTAATGTGTAAGACTCGCTTCATTCCTTACTGGACTTTGAATGTCTTCTTTTTCCCTGTGGCTGACTTGGTTCTGGTTTACGAGTTGGTCACTTCTTCATCTTCCATTGTTCGCTGGTTAGCACTCCACAGCCGAGCATTGAGCTGTTGAACTCTGAGCTCTCTTACGAATGAGAAATCACGGCTCATCTGCGAGTGACTGGTGACTGACTGTCTTACGACTCACTAAGGACGAATGACGATGCTGCTGAAACGTATGTTAATTTCATAGAAAAGCTCTGGTTTCTACAAGCTTATCCGTTGCCACGGACGCGCGCCTAGCGAGCCGTTGTCTAGCAATGGCCAATCAGGTTGTCAGGCGTTATGTCACAATATGATAAAATGCTGATGGAATAATTATCAAAGTAATATTTATTCAGTAAACAACACGGGAATGTTACTACAAGTATTACACCTCATGTATAAACTTACCCAGAAGTAGGAGGGCAGTGTATCCAGCTGCATCAATACTTTTCTATCCAAATAACTTATATTTATGCCGACAATAAATATTTTCATCTGCAGTTGTGTTTATTCTTGAATGAATTAATTTAAGGCTCGTTATCCTATAATTAGGATATCGTGCTGTTCTGTTATGAAGTGAAATTGGTAAAAATTACATTAATCGCTCATCGACGCTCAGCTATTTCATTATTATGCATTCAAATTAAGAAAAAAACATCCGCATAGTTCAGCCTTCGTGTCCATCAACGACAGCACATTCTGTTACAAATACAATGGTTATGGTTTTCTAACACAAAACAGTAACAACTTTCAGACTAGGGTGTCAAAGGCAGAAACGTGAGAATAATTGAGGGCCGCAGTTCTTCAGTTTTTCTCAAGCTCTCAGTTCGTCAACGACTTCGGTCTTACTTCTTAGTTCTTGTACTGTTTTAATCACACTTAATTGCATTAAAATTTCCAAAACAAAGGCTTGGTTCTCTTAATAGTCTAATCTAGTTTTTTACAGTTTGACGTATGAATAGGGGCCGGTATAGCGACTGACTACAGGCTAGACGATCGAGGGGTCGGACTGCGAGTCCCAATAGGGTCAAGAATTTTCAATTCTCCAATCGTCCAGATCGGCTCTGGGGTCCACCCAACCACCTGTACAATGGGTACCTGGGGCTCATTCCCAGGGGTAAAGCGGCCGGGTCGTGAAGCTGATCACTCACCTCCAACTAGTGCCGAGGTCAAGAAAATTTGGATCTATAGATCCACGCTCCCATACGCATTGTCATATTGCGTAATTAGTTAATCACAGGGGCAACTTTACCTTACATTTACCTTTTGACGTATGAATGACAGTAAAATACGTTCCTCAGAATTACTGAGGTTTTGGACTTTTCCATCGTCCGGTATTCTAGAAGCTAGAAAACATGACGTTACGAAAACTGGATCTGTTTCCGAAACGTCATATTTTCTAGTTTCTAGAACACCGGATGATGGAAAAAGTCAAGAAACCCAATAATTCTGTTATACACCATCGTCAGAACATTTTAGAAACTAGTAAAATACATGATAATACACATTTTCATACTAAAACGATTACTTCTTACCTCCGATCGGCTTATCTTATTTTATACGCGTATTCGTCGTATGATTGGTAACTTGTTAAAATTGAAGTCGGGCTATGATTATAATATCGTCTTAGATTATTGTTAGAACAGTGCTCTATTCACCGCTCGTTGTGTGTCTCCAATACCTTTTAGAAGACAAATTTCCGATTTTCTTAAACGAGTTTATAGGAACATCATTTCTCTCAGCCGGAATATAGTTTCCAACTGCGGAATTAGAACGCATTTCAACCTTTTCTTAGGTGTGCATCATATTAACCTTGAGGACCTTGTTTAACATTCCTGTTCTTCCTGTATACGCAGTTTATCTTCACCAAAAATGTTTATATTGGTATAGTATTGAGCTCTGCCTTATTGCAAATGAGACGAAACTTTTACCGAAGATGCCAGCACCAATTATCCCTCATGTCTCTGGGAACGATTCATTGAAACGGAAATGCGTTTACTTCGGGTTGGCAATCTTGACAACTTTCAGAACGCGCTAATGATTGGCAGTGTTCGTAATCGTAAACACCACGTTTCAAAGGTGATTATGTATTTTTGGTGTGCCTTGGTGGGCGTAACGTGTTTTGAATGTTGTTTGGAAAAGGAGAACCGAAGTAAACTGTCAACGAGGTTGAATTCCATCCAACAGTGAACTGGTGTCGTAATGGTACTGATTGTTTTATTTCGTAGTGCAATCGTTATACTGCCATATCCTAAAGTATGTTCACTTTTCTAGGTGCTTCATTTGTGGAAAAACCATGCGTAATGACGTGTGCGTGTTTTCAGGTTGAAGATTGCAAGATGAGCACGGTCTCAGTAAGAAACAAGGCAAGGGAGAAGTTTCTGAAGTTAAATGGAATTAAGGGAATGAAATTTGACCCTGGAGATACAAATCAGAACAGTTCATTCCCACCAAATACAGTCCCCCTGGAAAACCAAGTTGCAGGACATTCATTTGGAGATGGCAAAAACACGTTAGGTAACAGTTTCTTTGTTTTTATTCCCATAATTATGTTTAACACTGTCACAGCTTTCATTTTTAAGGTTAAGACTCTAAACGTTTATGTGTTGAAGATTATGGAAATATGTGCAGTTTAGAGGTTAAATTGAATTTATTAGGCCATGAAACCATTTACGATTTACGAAATTATCCAGTGTGAGAGTTTATAGTTGCTGTTTACAGTTGCTTAATTATGACAATTGATAGTATTGAAATCTTGTAAACTTATGTGTTCATTCAGGAATGTTGAAACATAAAGATGGCTATGTATTGAAACCAATAGAGAAACCTGTTTATGGGGAACGTGAAATAAAGTTTTATGAAGACTTGCAGAGTGCTACTGATAATGTATCAGTTGAGCTCAGAAAATTTGTACCAAAATATTTGGGTACAACAACCTTGAGAATAAATGAAAAAGGTAAGAGTTTCTTTTATTGCTGATTAGGTCACTGTCTCTCTCTGCCTTAAGTTTTCACTCCTGTTACACTGTGCTGTCTGCTTCACTGATGGTGCATAAATCAAACTAATTCACTGTCCCACATCAAAGTTGCAGTTACCCTGGCAGATTCTGATCANAGGCTAGCTCTTTCTAAGGGACCCAACTGAATAGGTGTTTTCCTTCACCTGAGGACGGAAACAGATCCAGTTTCCGAAACGTCGTGTTTTTATTTGTTATCTTAAAAACCAGGACGATGGATAAAGTCCAAAATCCCAACATATCAGTGTGTTATACACCATCGTCAGAATCCTATAGTAACTAGAATAATATTACTCATTCAGGCATGGTACTGTGTTACAGTGTGAGTACTATCACTGAAATGTGATTTGTTGGAAGAACTTTGGTTGGATAAATTGTGTTACCTTCTCAGTTTTCATGTTTTGTCTCAAACTATATAGCGAAGTTTTATGAAATTTGTTATGCATTGAAAGTTTTTAAACAAATACCATTCTTGGTTCTTAGCAGGCAACTGTAATGCTTTCTGTACATGAAGGTCAGATTTAGAAAATTGTCAAAAATAGCTCGTCCTACAAAAAATGGGTATGTGATGTGGAATATTGAGCTAATAAAAATCTACAAGTATAATATGAAACATTTTAATAGGCCTGCAATGAGCATAATATCTTTGCTGTTGATTAGCACTATCAGCAGTATATTTGTGTTTTGGTAACTGAAGAGTTCACAGTTGTATATGTATATGAAATCATCAAAAAATGTAGTGAAGTAAATTGTCAGGATGTGAAGGGTACGTAAGTGTAGTGAAGTGAAATGAAGGGAAGGTCATGGTGAAATATGAGGGCATTAGTTCATGACATTACATATTTCAGTACTGTTACTGTGAATATGTGGGAGCCTTCACATCTCACAACCATATGGGCTTCCACTGCCTGTTACAGGGATACATTTACCTTTTACTGTTTTGTGTATAGTATGCTTATTTTTATTAATATTAATTAATATAATTGTAGTTGTAATTGTATTTGTCATAATGGTAATTATATTTGCATTGTGTTCATTCTGTGTAGTGTGTCCTGTATTGTTTGTGTAGTTTTGTGTACTGTGTTTTGTTTGAGCGTGGTGTGTTATTTTGTGTTGTGTCTTATTGTGTTGGGTCCTTATATATTTACTTAAGTTTATAAACTCAGAAAAGTGCATGTCCTAAAATTACAGAATTTGTAATTAATAAGTCTTTGCTAGATTACAGCTTGGAACCAAAACACATAATAAGAGAAGACCAGTGCTTATGTGTTATTAGAATCAGCATCTTGAAATTTACAAGTCACCCAACAGATTTCACTTGCCCATAATCTCAGTGTATGCTTTTTTATAAATGTTTTTTTATATGTGGCAGTGGTCTCTGTTAACCGGTCTCAGTGACTGCTTAATCTCAGGCACAAACTTCTTCGCCTGCCCAAACACTGGGATTATGGGTTCGAATCCCACTTGATGCATGGATCTCTGTGTGCACTTATTCTGTGTTTGTTCTGTCCTGTGTGCAGGGAGCAGCCTTGTTATGGGCTGATCCCCCATCCAAGGAGTCCTACCGACTGTATAAAAGACCAAGAAACTGAAAAGCAGCCAATAAAGGGTTGTAGAGGCATAGATAGATAGTGGTCTCTGTTAATTGATCAGTGACAAATGGACATATAATGTATTCCTGATTAAGGTGAATGTCATTTAATGCTACATTCCTTATTAACTGTCTATGGGCTGGACAATTTGGGTTTGATTCCTGGTAGGGGCAAGAGATTTTTCTCTATTCCACTGTGTCCAGACTGGCTCTGGGGCCCACCCAGCATCTTATCTGATGTGTACCGGGAGTTGCTTCCCCGGGGGTAAACTGGCTGTGGTGCGAAAGTGACCACTCACCTCCATCTAGTGCCAAAGTCAAGAATGGTGGAGCTGTACCTCCACTCTCCCATATGTCTTCATGGATTAATTCTTAATTAAGTACAGGCAGCTTCACCTTTTTTATATTTCTTATACAGAATCTGTTTGATACTAGGGAAAGAATAACTTTTCTTTAATTCCAATGTTAATACAAATTATGTGTTTTCCAACTCAGATGTCAGATTTATTAAATTGGAAGATATAGCAAAGGAAGTAGCGGAACCATGTATCATGGACGTCAAAATTGGCAGACAAACGTGGGATCCCGAGGCAACATTAGAGAAGAGAAAAAATGAAGATGTAAGTTGTCCATGAAGTCCAGTTGTCAGTTGCAATGTTATGACTTTAGGAAGTGTAGATATTCTGTGCTTGTGTTCAGGATCCTTTCCAGCAATAGTTGGGTGCAGTGTGCAGGTATTTTTTTTTTTTTCCAGTTAACAATAATTTAATGTTTCTCATACAGTTCTGCCTGAGAAGCTGTGAGAGAAGAAACTTGTTATTCACTTAGTGGGGGGTGGAGTCCAACTGGGTCCACTTGGCACAGCGGCCACTGACTGGTCTATTGTAGCCTGCCCCGGGTGATTATGATGATGGAGAATTTGGTGGAATGAAGATTGGTAGGGGAAACCGAAGTACTCGGAGAAAACCCAACCCAGTGCTACTTTGTCCACCACAAATCCCACTTGACCAGACGCAGGAACCCGGACCGCTGGTGTGGGAAGCGACCAATTAACCGCTTGAGCTATGGCGCGGCCTAAGAAACTTGTTAGTGAGAACTTTATTTAATTTTTGTTTCCTGTCTCTTTAACAGTTCCATTGATCTAAGTTTATTCACAGAACTGTGAATTGTATGTTGTGAACAGTGAGTATGAACAGTATTACCTTTTGGGATATGACACCGTGTAGTTTGGTAGCATTTTACTGAGTCCACCTTCAGATTCAGCTTTTTGCTTGTCTGGCATACTCTTCACCCATGAAGGTAGAGGAAATACCTTCCTCCAAAACATCAGTAAAATCGGACGTATGTTTATATGAACATTTTTGATCACAAAGACCTAGGAAATCACCTCCTGCAGTTATGCCCTAAAGTCGTGAAACACTGTATTTTGTGCCACAAGTGATTTTTGTTTTAAAGATAACTTTTTCATATAAATGATATTTCATTAAGGTTAGCTGTTATCTTTCCTGAAGTATTTGGCACTGTGGTATCAGAACCTGAAGGTACGACGACATTGATGCCAAAGTCTTCCATCATACATGATCTTAAATCAGTTCCATTTGTCTCTGATCCTCACAATGTCTTCATAAAGTACATATTAATATTATCCTCCCATTTCCTCGGTCTTCCAAATTCACTGCTCCAAGAAGTTTCCCACCAAAATTCTGTACATATGATTTATCTTCCCCATCATGTAATTAATTTGTTCATTACACTGAATGTAACGGATATTTCTTCAGTTTACTGGACGGAAAATTGCGTCTTGTTCCTAAGATTGATGTTGCATCATGCATACTGTTACAGTGATTTAATGTGTAACTTCATTTTACATTCCTATACTTTTCAGCAAAAATATGCTGAATGCAAACAAGATCTAGGGTTTTGCATTCCTGGCTTTCAAGTTCATAGTATTTCTACAGGGAATGTCATTAAATTTGGGAAAGAGCATGGGAAGAACTTGAACAAGACTACTATAAAAGATGGTAAGTTGTACTAGGAATACTGTAGGGTGGTCACATTGTGCCTGAAGTTCTCAAACAGACTGCATAATTATTCAGAAAATATTTCTAATTTTTTTGGTTGTATAACATCGCGAGGGAGATGAGAATGTTGTAGTCTTTGGGTCTTTTGAAAATTTGAGGTCCTGTCCCACTATTTATTTGGAGGTACTGAGGAGAATCATGAAAATGTTAAGTAAAATGGCTAATCGATATACCCCTGCTCCTCTAAAACATGCGGTAAGGAATGGAAAGTCATGCAGATTGTTTAACAAGTCTGTTACATTAAATTTCCAGAATGAAGTTGAAATAAAGAATTGAGGTTTTCAGCATGGTATGCTATTTAGTGTGTAATGTGTAAACAGTTTTATTTGCTTTTATAATTTGGGCAGTAGCTGAAATTTGAATCAAAACTAATAATTTGAGTGATATGTTAATATAAGCAAAGAACAAATGTATTGCAGATGGTTGAAGTTATTATATAAAATGCATGGTAACTTGAAGACATCATAGTTGCCAATCAAAAATTGTGGCATTATAACTGGCCTGACATTATTTTATGATATCCTGTAATTTGCCTCTTAGTTCTGATGGAAATGCTACAATGAGTATTCAAGTATAGGACAGTGGAGCTGAATTTCAAAATTAAAGTCTAATAGCATTAACAGGACTTACAATCTGGGGCATTTGATTATGTGTAAGAGCTTTAGTGAGAATACATTTAACATAAAGTCAGTACTGTTCTGGGAAATCTGAGTTGGAACAGGAAGATTTTGTAACAGTGAAGGATGAAAATGCTGTTCATTTCCCTATTCAGCATCATAATTTAACCAACTCTCATAAAGTATAACTTACTTGAATAAGATTTGTGTAATACATCCGTTCGCATTTTTTAAAATTTGGTGTTGGTAATATTGATATGGAAATATCATTTGTAATGTTTTGTACATACATTTGTAGAGTAGTTATTCACAGAGGGTATAAAGTTGTACATATAGGCAAGTGGTTCGTGATCTTGCTGGGGCATGGAGTAGCATAATTTCGCTTTATGGGGGGTGGAGTCCAAGTGGGTCCACTCGGCACGGTGGCCACTGGTTGGCCTATTGTAGCCTGCCCTGGGTGATTATGATGATGGAGAATTTGATGGAATGAAGATTGGCAGGGTAAACCGAAGTACTCGGAGAAAACCTGCCCAGTGCCACTTTGTCCACCACAAATCCCACTTGACCAGACCTGGGATCGAACCCGGGCCGCCACGGTGGGAAGTCAGCAACTAGCCGCTTGAGCTATGGCGCAGCTGAGTAGCATAGTTGGTTGAGGCACTATGCTACAAGCCAGAAGGACGTGGGTTCAAGTCCCAATGAGATGGATATTTTTTTTCCAATTTACCTAATCCTTCCAACCGCATTATGGGCCTGGAGTTGATTCAGCCTCTAAAAGAAATGAGTACCAGTAATCTTCCTGGTGAGTAAAGGGCGGCCAGCATGTAAGACTGACAATATCACAGCCATCCGTGAGCTGGTTGTCTAGAGAAAATGTGGGAGCCTCGAAGTTTCAGAACCCTATGGGCCTTCAAGGCCTATTACAGGGATAGCTTTACCTTTTTTGCAATCTTGCTAATGCATTTGTAGTTTCAACTCAGTACAGTAATATTAAACTAGATCATAAAGAAATGGGATCTCTAACTTGGATTCATTTGACTCAGGATAAGGATTGGTGACAGTGTGGGTGGCTAGCGCTTGATTTAATGTGGGTGGCTCCCACAGCAGTTTCTTGTAAGCACAGTGATGAAACTTAAGGGAATTCTTTGACAAGCAGAGCACCTGCTAGTGTCTTGGGAAGTATATTGGTCTATGGGCTTAGAATAATTATGAAACTATTAAAGTTTTTTAAAAACATAGTTGATTCCATACTCTGTTGCTTTTGGATGTGATGGTGCTCAAATTCAAGCACTTGGAATTGTAGTGCCATAACAAAAACATTGATTCCATACTCTATTGCTTTTGGATGTGATGGCTCTCAAATTCAAGCACTTGGAATGGTAGTACCATAACAAAAACATGTATATTAACAACATCTACATTTAAGTTGCAAGTTTCATGTGCTCAGATAAAAAAAATGGACTTTTATTATGATAACAATTTATTTTCCCTTCTGGATTACATTCCAGACATTTTCAAATCCATAATTTTTTTTTTGTGCCAGCAGTTTGTGGCTTTCAGCCATTGTTGAGCTGTAAGCAAACATTGATCCTCACAAATTGATATTTTTAGTAAAATGTTTTGATTCTGTTAAGAAGTCTAAATGAATTTCAGAAAACCTATAAGAATAGTAAATGAGTTATGTGCATATGAGGTCTATGTAACAATGCTTTTTAATGTATGGAAACTACCTTAAAGGATTTCTAAAAATTGAGTGAATTCTGCAGTATAATACACATGCAATTAAAATTTTAACAGTGTGTGTTTAATGGTATCTTTTTGAGCAAAAATTCTTCTTCAGACAAGAATATTTCTGTGAATTAATTTTTGCACTATGCAGTAACTAATGATTTCTTCATTGTCTAGTTATGAAGCTGTACTTGAACTGTGACTCTGGCCTCATTCGTCAAATGATCCTGCAGTTTACTGTTAAGCTGTGGCAGATACATCAGTGGTGCAGGAACCAGCATAAATTCAGATTATATTCAAGTTCCATTTTGCTTGTTTATGATGCACGAAGGCTGAGACAGTGCCTCAGACTTGAGGGATGCAGTCCAAGTCGTCCATTGAGTCCAATCCTGGGCCGAGCATTAACCTTCAGGGCCACCACTCCTCCTGTGTTTGGTGGCCAACTTAGTCCTGGTTTGAATGGACCACCTAGCCCTGGTTTTGGCTCACAGTTCAGTTTGTCAGGATCGGCAACTGATAAGAAGTCACGTAATTCTGGAAGTTACAGTGGAAAGCATTCTCCCAATACGCTGTCTGTGCCTGGAACGCCAGTTTCTCCTTTCCCAAAACAAAATGGTTGTTTCGATGCCAGTTGGCTTACTGGTTTTGAGAAGGCATGTCGCACCCACTCCCTTGTCAACAATTATGAAAAAGATCTTCAATCAATGAAAGAGGACTATGCATTTCAGCTGAATGACCTGAAAAGTGCAGACACACCTTTCAGTAGTGAGGACTGGGTTCAGGTTAAGATGATTGATTTTGCCCATGCTTTCCCATCAGTGAATGATGAACTGGATACAAACTATCTGGAAGGAATTGAAAATCTCGTCACACTGTTCGAGAGCTTGTGGAAAGAAATATCCTAGCCAACACTGTATTATGATTGAGTTCTCCAGAAAGTTCCAGTGATATCTGTACATACTAATACTGAAAGCTTCCTGCCAAAATATGCTTTAAGATGTTTCTAAGACTTGTAAGTTTTATTTTTATGTGCATATGGTTCTCATGTTTGGGACCAATTTGAAACATTTTTGACAACTGGTTTTAGCTAGTATGGCATGGATGGTTGTACAAGTGTTTTTATTTTTTCATGTTTTCATATTGCCTATAGTTACTATTCCATTAGAGCATCTCCTACATAATTAACTTAAATAGCCATGATAGATCTTATGCCAAGCTCATTTCCATTTAGAAGCCTTAAAACTTGAATATATAAGATGCCTCTGGAAGTATTTGTAGAGGTTTGAGTTGTGATGTTTTGAGTCTCCACACATGTATGTCTGAGGTGCATTATTTGTATATAAGTAATGACATGTTTAAGTCCCATGAAAATTTGCTTGGAAATACTAAATAATAAACACAAATGATGGTCCACATTGAAATTATGAAGATATTAAATTTAGGGAGCAACATATTTTACAGATTCTTTTTAGAGTGCATCCTTTTTTCATGATCAAACAAATCTAATTGCCATGTTCCATCTATGCAATTCTAAGAATGTATACCCATTCAACTGTTTATTAATAATCACTACATGTTTCCATCATCCAACTGGTCATCATCAGGTGATACGTTACTTACAAGTATTTTTGAATTGCAACAATTGTAACTAACGTATGTGCCTATATTTATAATCGTTTCTGTCTACTATCTGTGCTGGATTCATTGATATAAATCATAAAAGTTATAAAATTATAACGTGGCCACATTGTAATGTAGATTAGGTAAAACTGATTCCATAACATTTAAGTAAAATTAAAGCTAAGCCGGAAGGTCACGGGATTGAATCCTGACAAGGTGAATTTTTTTTTCAATTTACCTAATCCTTCCGGCTGCACTACGGCTCTGGGGTCGACTGAGTCTAACAGAAATGAGTACCAGGAATATTCTTGGAATATTCTTGGGGGTAAAGGGAAGCTGGCACGTAAGGCTGACAACCTTACTGCCATCTGTGAGCCGATTGTCTAGAAAATGTGAGAGCCTCAACATCACTCAACCCTATGGGCCTCCATGGCCTGTTACAGGATTACCTTTACTTTTTTACTTATATAGCTATGTAGCACCACATGTGTCACTGTTTAAGCTATACAGCCCAAGAGTAAACAAGTAAAGGACCATAGCCTAGTAGGGTAGGTAACACCCATCTATATACTAAAAAGTATCACATGTATCACGAATGCTAGTCAGCACTGAGCTAACCCAGGGAAGAAATGACACTCTTATAGCACTTTTGACTCAGATCGTTCTTTACTTAATTTTACATAAATGTTATTGAATCAGTTTTATCTAATCTACATTATAATGTGGCATCGTTATAATTTTATAACTTTTATGATTTATATAAATGATTCGAGCACAGATAGTAGACAGAAACAACTGTAAATATGGAGCCATATATTAGGTACAATGTTTGCAATTCAAAAACACTTGTAAGTATTGTTATCACCTGATGATAACCAGTTGGATGGTCCAAACATGTAGTGATTATTAATAAAGAGTTGAATGAGTATACATTAGGGTTGCCAGATTTTGTAAAATAAAAAAAGGAGTGATGTCTCTTTGCTTGTTTATAACGACATTTTTCACAACTAATAGGCTATAAAATGTACATAATCAACATACTACATAACTTACAAAATGCTACTACACATCTGTATTACATAGGCCTACTAAACATTTATAGAACAAAACAAATATTACGTAGCCCTATTACATATTTATAGAATAGGATCTTTATAGGATCTTCTTCGCCCTCAGACATTTTTGCTAACTTGACACTGACTTTCTAGCGAAGATTGAACGGATTAAAAATACACTATCACCAACAACCTCTGCTTTGGTTTAGAACCTCAAGTGTTGCCAACATTCACGAAATGCAACATAACGAAAGAAACTATAACAATGTCATTTTCCAAGGATTACAGAAATTTTATGATAATATTTAACCCACGAAATATAATTTGCAATAGACTTAAATAAAAAAACGGAGAATTATCCACTCCGGGTAAACAATAAATTGAGGAACAAGATTTGGGTGAACACACCGAAGAATCCAGGGAAAACAGGGTATCTGGGAACCCTAGTATACATTCTTAGATTTGCATAGTCAGAACACAGCAATTAGATCATTTTACAGATTGTTTGAAGTGTTTATAAAACCTGATTTAATTGTCACAAGATCAATAGTGCCAATGTAAAAGTAAATACTGAAAATATTGAGATACACAGGAAATGAAAAGATTTGCAAAGAGAGACAGAAGTCTTTGTATTAGGCTCTTTACCTAATATTGTTAAGGTAAATAAATGAAAGATTTGAATTAAGGTACTGAATATCATGGTCATGTTGTTAGTATTCCTGTTCGTATTTTGAAGATTCCAGGTTTGAATCTCAGAGTGTAGACCTTCTGTCCTGATGGGTGTTCATGATTTTCTATCAGTTTCTGGAGGTAGATGCTAGAACACTACCTTAAAGTACCTATGACTACACTGCCCATATCCTCTCCAGTTCATCCTTCGTGTAATCATTTTGCCATTTGCAACTGCCTAATTTCTGCAGCTGAAGAACTGCTAGTAAATAACCCAGAACCAAGTGACTTACCAAGATCAGCTGGGGGAACAAATTCATGAACATTGCACTACAGAAACCTCTTGGAAGAGATGCCTAGCCAGTGGGAGTTTTATTGCATTTGTAGAGGTAAGTGGGTTCTGATTACAAAATTACATAGAGAAGCTGGCTTTTTTTTTTGTAATGGTAATGAACCTGAAGACTCTGTAACATCACTTGTTCTGCCCAAGCCCTCAGACTTCATTCACACTGGTTACACCAAACAGGAGAAGGCCATGAATTTGCCATGTATAACTTACTCTGGTAACTCTGTGTAGAAATTGTTTGTTGTTTTCATCACTAACTCTCACTCTCATTCTGTTGGTTGTTTGGTTAAAATGCTGCTGGCCTTCGCCAGCACAGTCATTTCTGTCTTCACTCTCCTCGAGATCCATGACCTAGGTTTTTATTTTCTCCTAGACATTGACATGTTTTGAAGTGGAGCTTCCTCTTCGACAGAAGAGGGTTTGGTCTTTCTATGTTGGAGCTATATTATTTGCACCATAGTTTCAGCATGAGTAGATATGCGCTGTCAGGGCATTCAGGTTACTTATGGGCTCTTGTGCATCTTTTGTCACTGCACTATATGTTAGTTAGTTAGTTAGTTATTGGAGAGGGTGGGTTTCCCCATGCACTTAGACCAGTATTGGTCCATTGTGCTTCCCTCTATGATATTCTATCAGTCTCTGTACCCTACCGATAATGGTGCGTACCATCAGTCCTGACCGAGCCAGCGAGTTCTCAACTGGCTTGGCGGTATCTATAATGCTTCCCCCATCTATCAGAGGCCTTAGAGACTGCTGTTAGGCGGGAAACATCCTTGAATTTGGCTCAGTGATCTCCTTTGGAGATATGAGGTTCTTTTACGTGCCGTAAAGCTACGACACGGGACCCACGGCTTGAAGTCCCTCCCGGAGGACTTGTTCCCTGAATTTTTCCGACCTTAAAAATTCGATGACCTCCGCCGGGTATTTGAACCCGCGTACCATGAGTCATGAAGTGGGAATGTTACCTCTAGACTACGGAGGCTGCTGCACTATATGTACTAAGTAACAGTTATACAAGGGATGTAGAGGTTTCCTGTCAATGAAGACTTGTGCAGTAGGTTATGCCTTAAACTTATGCAACTGCAGTTAGTCAGCTAAACAGTTGTAGGCCTCACCTACCTCCAAGTTTAAGCCTCTTACTCTTCGTATGTCTGGCTTTTTGTCCAGTACCACATGCATTTGTATTTATATGGTTTACAATTACTTCTGCTGTGTCTTGCATAATATAGTTTTATAGTCATACACACAAGGACTTTTGAAAGTCACGTGCAATTCATGGACTGGCGTGCACCTGTCAAGATTTGCATTAGCATGAAGTATTCTGTTCTGCAGGCTCTGCAATTTCAAGAGGTGAAGGTCCATATACTCCCAGGGGTGACAGGCATACGTGTAAGTTATAACTGACCTAATGAGAGCTTTGTAAAGCATAGGTTTAGTATTTGTACTTAAATGCCCACTTTTGAATAAAGAATGGGCCCTTACATATGTGTGCAAGGCCTTAGCTACAATTTCTTTCAAAGTCAGAGTTATTGTACAATTAGCAGTTTACTGCAAATCAGTTGGCCTAGGCGCCAAGCCAAGTAAAGATTATGACCATTTGTCAGGGTTATGTATTGCACATATAGCATACTCCTGCGTGGTTATGGGAAATGCCTCTTCTTCCTGGGAAGCGGTCAATCTGATAAAAATAATAATTTGCCTTGTGGGGTTTGAGATGTTCCTCTGAGAGCAGAGCCACATCTATATATAAGTCTTGCAGCTGTTTACCGAGCTCATAGTGCCGCCTCCAGATGATGTTTGCATTAAATGCTACATTTTGTGTGGCCTATGAACTTTAGCAGCCATTTTGTTTCATTAGGTTTGGTACCATTTTTGTAATGACCATTATTGTGTCTTTTTCTGATACAGCTTTATTGAGCTCTGTGATGAACTGTTTCACTACATTGGTTATTTTTAACGTGTCATTGTTAGTCAAACTGGGAGCCTGTACTGACAGACCTGTTCTCTGGATTTCCTGTTGTGGCAGATGCCGCTGCATGGGTTTCCAAAAGCTTTTCCTGGTTGGTCGTTTAAATTGCTGCTGGCCCTCATTAGCTCAGTGTTTGGTTTTGAGCCCCACCGGGATCCATGACCATATTTTTATTTTCAAAAGTTATGTGTTTTTTAATGGAGAGACTTCTTCGATGAGAGGATGGGTCTGACTACTACTGGTCACTCCCTTCTGCTGAGGCTGACTTGAGCAGACACTTAACAGTTTGCTGTCACCTCCTGTAACACACGCACGCACACACACACACACACACACATGGCTCAGACTCAGAGTTACTTTACAACTGGTGGTTTACTGTCAGTCAGTTCGTCTTGGCATCCAGACCCTTGGGATTCATGACCAAAGATCTTTTCCAACAGAGCCCTTCTGGTAATAATCCATATGGAACATCCTCTCTTATGGGAAGATGGACCTGGACTTGTTTCTCATGAATATGCCTTGCCGTATAGCATATTATTGAAAATTCTTTCTTTTGCACTATATACAACCTCTGATGTAGTCATATCTATATGTAGGTCTTGCAGTTGTTTACTGAGCACACAGCACTGCCTCCAAATTCCAGTTGCATCAAATGCTATGACCTTGGGCGCCCTATGAACTCTAGTAGCATTTTGTTGCATTAAGTCAAGCACCATCATTATAACGATCCTTACTTTGTCCTCTTCTGATACAGCTTCAGTGAGTTCTCTCATCCATCTCACTGCCATAGCTACTTTTAACTTGTCGTCAGACGAACTGGGAGCCTGTACTGCTTTCTGAATTTCCTATTGTGGCAGATGCTGATGAAGGGGGTGCTCTACTCTTTCCCCATCTCTCTGCAGTGCCTGTAGTTGCTGTTGTGTGTCTTGATGCTATGCAGCTGTGTAGGACTGTTATGATGAGGTGAACTTAGAGAATAATGGGGCATTTTCGGTTGCGATCTCTTGTTCACTGCCTTATTTATCCTGACCATTCACCTCCCCCATTTTATTTACTGAAGTAGATACAACTCCTTCCACTGGCACTTCCACTATCGCATATTATCGAGTAACCCGTAATTCTTACTGTGACAAGAACGTTCAGTGTTTTGGAGCGCCTGTGAGTGCGAGAACTGTCTTTGTGATGCAGCAGTGTAGGTA